GTGCCGTTCAGGTTAGCTACCTATTGGGTTCTCCATTGTGTGACTTTGAACAACGAAGCTGAGGTTATCTTGAAGAGACCCTTCAGGACACGGCGCTGTCAGGAACCAAAGGACATGACTTCAGCCAGAAAAGCAAGGCACGAAGCAATCCCTTCAGTGGCTGAGTCTTTCTTTTTACTACTGTTTCCCAGGGCACCCATGCAATATTTAAGAAGGAAGCTTGCTGCTGTTCTTCCAATTACTATTTTGAATACCCCCAACAGCAGTGTCTTCAGTCTACACTCCCAAGTTGCAGTTTCATTTCCCCCCCTCCCAGATAGAATACACACAAAAAGAAGCCCCCTCCCTAGATGACAAATTGCATTTTCAACCTTAGCAATATTGCTGAAAGTTTAAAAACTAGGTCTCACCTCAGTGGAAGGATAAGGAACCATCTATAAAACATTCCTCATTTCAGTTAATCATCTTCTCACTAGCTTGTTGTTTGTTTTAACTTCCTCGGTGTTTTCTGTCTTCCCACTTAAGCAAGAGATCGCCAGAACTGCATTGACAAGGAAACTTGCTTAAAGCTCCAGACGTGACTTCTAGCTTCCATAAGGATCCTGCACTTGGTTCTTGCTAACAGTTTGTTATTCTAGTTTTATTGCATGCATTCATCAATGTTGACGTTTACAGCTTGTTTAAACATCTTGTTACTAGGGGGGGAGGGGAGGGTGTGGGTGTTCTCATTTACTTTCTTTTTCAACTTCAACAAGGTTTTTAAAAGTTCCCACATCACTTGGTCTCAAAAGTAGAGATGGTGTTCTAAAAGTAGAATGAGCTTGCTTGTTCATGTCTGCTTAAGAGGTGCTGGGATATTTGCCGAAGCTTGCTCTAGGTAAGCCAAAGCTCCTTGAGGCATTTCAGCCGGCTTTTTATGCTGCACATTGAGGTCTTCAAGAACTTGGTGCCAGTGTCGCAGCTTCCCCAAGTGCTTCTGAATCAGTGCTTCTTTCCTCTGTAGCTCATTCCTCAGTTCGGAAACGTCCTCTTTAATTACTTGCTCTGGTCTGGACAGATACATTACCAATACATTACAGGTAAGGCTTCCTTAACTCTCCATTTCTGTGGCCACGTTTTTAAACTCCGTCTTGGATGAGTCTTTCTTTACTCTCCTGTTGATTTTCCCCTTCCTTCGCCCATGTCGAGATCCTTGCTTAGCCGCCTAGGGATCAGCTCCCCCACGCTGTTTTAGCCTGGCGTTTGATTATCTGCACTTTCTGTATTTTGGTGAATGAGAATGGAGGTGAGTGTGATCGCGTTTCAGCTGGCATAAACTGCACCGGTTGGAACCGGTGCAGTTTATGCCGGCAGAAAGGCCGCGTCTGAACGCACCCTATATGAACTATGCATTTGAAAGGGAGTGTAGTTGCTAATGTGGCCATTGTGGCCTCATGGGATGCTTGCACTATTGGGCCCCATAACAAGTTGTCTACGTTTTCATAACCTCCTCCCCATTGCCAAAAGAACTCCAAGACATGAAGGTTCTGTCCAATCTGCAGTATATTCATGAGTTTACACAGTGGTTCATGCTGTGCACCATCTTCCCCTCAAATGGAAATCTTAACCCCTGACTCCTCCTCCCCCATCTACCCCAGGCTATGCTTGACTACCTCCTTTAATGATCACCCTAACATCTGGCCCTGCCCTCAAGGCCCTCTCCCAATCTTCTTATCCCTTGTACTCGAAAGGGTTCTCCCTGCCCTCCCTCAGCTGCAGATGCTGCAAGCTACCTATTCCCCACAGAAGATCTATAGGGTTAGACTCTCCTTATTAAGGGGACCTTGTCCCATCTGGGCCTCCAAGACAGTTCTTGCCACTGGGCCACTAACTTCATCACCTCCACATCCCAAAGTGTTCCTTCTCCCTGTCACCAGACCAAGCTTCCTCCTAGTATCTCTCAGCCACATGGAGTGTAACAGAATGTGTCAAACAGAAGTATTGTATTTTGAACTTTCAGCAGATATTAGTTGATAGAACATCCAAGGCTACTGTCTCCTTTAAGTTCCATCACAGTCATTAACATATTTTTGAGAAAATATGCATAGGATTGGATTGTACATTGCATGACTTCCAAAGCAGTCCTTAGACTTTTTAGATTTTAAGTAATGCATCCTGAAAGTGCAGGCTTTGAGGTCTCTGAAGTAAAACTGAAATTCTGATTCCAATATTGAGTACTACATTGTTACAGTTTAATCACATTACTTTTAAAACACTAAAGCAGTTGTACACATTGAAATACCTAGAAATATTACCTTGCCTATTTTTCAATGAACTGTGAAAGCCAGACTCTGCTATACTCAGCCATTTGCAAGTCTCTTCTCTCTTTTTCATTAGTGGAAAATCTAGTTCTATCCCTGGCCTGGATAGCTCAAGCAAGCCCTATCATGTCAGATCTCAGAAGCTAAGCAGGGGCGACCCTGGCAAGTACGTGGATGGGAGATCTCAAAAGAATACCAGGGCCAAGAGGCCAGAGACAGGCTATCAAGCCATCTCTGTGTTCCAGTAGGGGTCACCATGACTTACAGGCATGGGCACACACATGCACGCACACAGACACAAATGTAAAAATACCTTAAAACAAGAAAAGCTAGTTCTACATTTTGAAAAATGCAGCATTAATTGAAATTTACAGCACAACCCTATGCAAGTCTCCTATACTCAGAATTTAGGCCCGTTCCCATCTCAATACCCTCTAAATGACCATCAAATTACAGCCTCAATGTTATCAATTTTTCCAAGTGTTTCAAACTTGAATTCCTTACCATAGCTGGCCTTTGAAGAGGCACACAACCACAATATACCAGCGTAAAATATCTACCAGATTTACAGTGCAATCCTAAGTAGGTCTACTCAGAATCCCACTTTCTTCTACTCCTAGGTCATACTCCCGAGAAAATTGCACTGTCAGTTGTTAAATCAAGTATCATATTTGAAAGTTTTGCCCACAATCCAATGAAACGATAAGTCCGTATAAAACTGCTTCTAGAGAGACAGATCACTGGTCTATCTAGTCCGAACATCTTTGATCTTTCAACCCACAAGACAGCTTAATCAGCCAAGAGTGTCCTGGAGCTCTCAAGCAAACATGATCCCTGAGACTCTTGTTGGTGGCTGTGAGAACTGTCATCTTCTGCTGGTGGATCCGGTTCATGGGAAATTGGTTCAAGTGAAGAGCAGCAAGCCCAACTAGACTACCTTTTCTAGGTGCAGTCAGCACTACTTCCCTAGAACAAACGAGAACAGACAGGAGTGTTGTGGACCTTGGTGTAACCAGCCACAGGGAGAAAAAATATTTTTTCTCTGTTTCAGTTAAAAAAAAAAAAATCTTGTTCATTTGACTACATTGTTTTCGGGGGGAAAACCCCCATTAGACTATTGTGTTTAAACCTGCAGCCTGCTGATATCTTTTTTAATGGGGGGAGTCAATAATTGAATCCAGGTCTTTCTGCATACAAAGTACATTACTGAATCCTGCCCCCCCCATGCATAGTTAGGAGTGAAAGAATAATAGTACTCAGAAAATTGATGAAACTAGAACTAATAGACTTTGATTAACAGCATAAAATAAATAAATCATGGTTTCAATCACAGATGCATAATTTTTTTTTGTATCACAGAAAACCACCAGAACTGGTATACCAGTTTTCTAAGACTGCTCCTTACTTCTTTGTTCCTTAGGCTGTATATGAAAGGATTGGCCATTAGCGTTAGGATTGTATACAAGAAAGAGAAGACCTTATTGAGATCTTTGAACTTCTCTGTTGTCGGCAAGACATAGACAAATATTAAGGAGCCATAAAAAATGGAAACTACAGTGAGATGGGAGGAGCAGGTGGAAAACGCCTTCTGTCTTCCAGTGATGGAAGGGATTTTCAGGATTGTTGTGATAATAAAAACATAGGACGCCACAGTTATGAGAAATGTAGGTAGAATCCCTATAGACGATGTTATAAAAGCTGCCGTTTCCGCAACCTGGGTGTCACTACAGGAAAGTCGAACCATGGGGGTGAAATCACAAAAGAAATGGTCAATTATATATTGGTTGCAAAAGTTAAGCTGTGAAACCAAACATGTTAAGATGGTTATAAGAAGTAGCCCATTTGTCCATGATACTGAAACAAGCAGGATACACATTCTCTCATTCATAAGTGTGGCATAATGCAAAGGTTTACATATGGCCAGATAGCGATCATATGACATAGCAGCCAAGAGGTAACATTCTGTAGCCCCCAGAGTAGAAGAGAAATGCATCTGGAGAACGCAGCCCAAAAGCGAGATGGTTTTGTCCCTTGTGACAAAACTGGCCAGCATTCTTGGTAATATTGTTGAAGTGTAGCAGGACTCCAAAAAGGCCAGATTTGCCAGAAAGAAATACATGGGAGTATGGAGGTGCTGTTCAACCATTACCAGGACAACAATCAGAACATTTCCTGACAGAATCACAACGTAGATAGCTAGAAATAATGAGAAAAGGAGAATGTTCAGATCCTCAACATTGCCAAACCCGAGGAGGATGAAGGTGGTGACAGCAGTTCTGTTTTGCCACTCTGAGTTTTTCACATGCTGCATCTGTAAATAAGAGATCATATACTGAGTACTGGAAAAGATTAGGAATTAACTCCCTCCATTTCCCACTTTCTTTCATACCCAGTGCTATTCAGATCAAGACCTTTAGAAGAAGAGTTGGGTTTTATACCTTAGTTTTCACTACCTGAAGGAGTCTCAAAGTGGCTTACAATCACATTCCCTTCCTCTCCCTACAACAGACACCCTGTGAGGTAGGTAGGGCTGAGAGGGCTCTGAGAGAACTGTGAGTGACTCAATTTTACCCAGCTGCCTTCACGTGGAAAAGTGTATAATCACACCCAGTCCTCCACTATACCAGACTGGTTCTCATTAAGGAAAATGTAAAGATAACTGCATGCAAACACATTGATCAAATACTACATAAATAACTTATATAAACTAAGGCAAAGGTGGACAAGAATGCTGAATGCAAAAGAAGAACTGTTTCCACAGCAGTGAAATTCCCCACATTGACATTTTAAAATCTGCGTGTTATGTGAAATTTTCTGCAGTAGATTTTTGTTCACCAGGGGCAAACCCAAAGTTTTCTCCTCCCCCCCCCCCAGATTTTCAGAACTCACTAATACTGAGGATTCTGAAAACGTGAGGAAAGAAGGAGAAAACTGCATGCTCCGAGGGACTTATCCTTGGCTGTTAAGGAGGAGGCTTCCTTCTGTTCTTACAGCACAAAGAAGATTGTTCATAGAATCAGTCCCTTTAGGATTGTACTTCAGCAGGGTTTATGTCCCACTTGTAATTTTATGTCTTTTAATGTAATTGCACACTTTGTACTTTATTTTCACTCTGCATGATAGGTGATCTTATATTACTATAAATATTTTTGCAAAAAACCACAGATTTTGTTTACATTCGTCAAGGTTGCTTTTGCATATATGTATTAGCAGTTTGATATCTGGTGTACAAGACTGGATTGTAGAATGAGGGGTGAAGAGAAGGAAACATTAAGGCCAAGTTCAGACTGGCAGTTTGGACCGACAGGGAAACGTTTCAGGAGCGACTGAGTAGCGGCGCAAAGGCGCGGGTTCATACAGGCAAATCTGTCTGTCGTCCTCCAGTCGTACTCATACCATTTTGTAGCACTCCCCTCTCAAGTATAAAAAGTACCACCTGGAAGTGGTAGCAAACCAGGCAGAGAGCATGTGGATAGCGTGTTGATTACGGTTCCTGACTGTGTGAACGCAAGTGCTGTAAGGCAGGAACAAAG